ACACCGCTGACAGGTGTGGGCCCCGGGAGGGACGGGCAGGTGTGCAGAGTGAACGGACAGGCACGTAAAGAAACCAGCGTGGGTGCCTGGTGCTTTGTCCCAATCAACGCCTCCCCTTTGAGCGTCACAGTCAGTGTGGGAGAGAGGAGAGAATATCCCTTATCACAGCCTTCGTCACGTTTGGGGTGTCGCGTAACTGGGAAAGGTAAGCGAACCGGTTCTGGATTCCGGGTGAGAGAGTCACCCGTGGATCGGCGAGCTGTCAGACACGCTCCCTGGGCTGTGTCATCCGCCACGTGCCGAAAACTTTTCTCGTGAACAGTCTCCGCGGTGTGGATCCCGATGGCATTCAGCAGGAGGGCCGCCGCCCGTCCGCCGAGTGTTATTTTCTCGATTTGGTAAGTTCCTCGTCTTAGAGTTTCTTCCATAAACAATGAAAAACTTAGGGTCCACAGCCCGGCCACGGGGCCCAGCTGCGTCTTGAGCATCACGTGCATGAGGCTGAGCCTTATCACGTCTGAGGGTGGGGGGCCCTGTCTTGAGGAGGAGTCCGGGGTCGCGTCCCTGACCTTGGAGCCAGCTCCAGACAGCAGTTTCGACTTGATGAAGTTTCTAGCCAACCTCACACCGTCCTGTTGTTTGGCATCTCTTGTGCCACCTGCCACCTTGGCCAGGGCTTGGCATCCAGCCAGGTGCCCGAGGGTGGGTGCCCACAGCCCAGTGCCTGTGCCCGCTGTGGCCTGGCCTGTCACCCCACTGCGGACGCGGGGTGGTAGAGAATGGGGTCCGCACGCTTTTTCTGGAAAAGGCCGGGCAGTAGGTTGCAGGCTCTGTGTCCTGGACGCACAGAAGGACAGGAGGTGAGCGTGTGGGTGGGGCCGTGTTCACCGGGACCTGACTGACGGACACCGCGATTGGAATTTCGTAGAACTTCCACATTACAAAATATTACTCTTATTTTGAGTTTCTCTCGGACTGTTTAAAACGTGGAAACGTTCTTTGTTCACGGGCCATGTAAACAGGTGGCTCCCTGGGTTTGGCTCAGCGGCCAGAGATGGTCCCTGGAACAGGACAGGGATGTTCGGGTTCCACTCCTGTGGCCTTTGTGAGCGTGGTGGAGGCGGGGAGCGGGGAGAGCCTGCCCCGGACAGACTCCAGCCTCGACACCAGCAGATGCATGGTGGGGGGACCCTTTGGCCGGTGGATCCGCACATGCCCACCACGGTGGCTTGGAAACCTAAGAAATAGGCTTAGCGGTTTTCCCAAAGCCACCCTGAAATTGCTGTCCTCTACCCTGACGAACTCTGCTTGAGCCCACACTGAGGTTGCGGGAACAGAGAACGAGGTTCAGGGTGTTTGCTGAGTCGGGAAAGCGCGAGGGGCCTGCCCTGCAGCGAGGACCCCGGGTGGGCGGGGCACAGGCAGCCCGCAGGTGGAGATGCTGAAGAGCCCCGAGCATCTCAGATCCGCCTCTGACGCAGCAGCCCCGGGCGCACGGCTCCGGAGACCCTTCTCCTATTTGGGGATAGAGGGTGTCTGTTTGCTGGGGCCGCCATAAAGAACCACAGATGCGCCGTGTCGCCGGTGTGGAAGCTGGACGCCTGAGGTCGCGGCGGGCAGGGCTGGTTCCTTGTGAGGCGCGAGGGAAGTCGTGCCGGGCGTCCCCGCTGGGCGTCCCGCAGCCTCTGCGGCCCCTGGCCGTCCTCCGTGTCCGGGCTCGTCCCTGCCTTCGTGTCCGTGGCGTCCTGTGTGCGGGTGCCGGTCAGAGTGGACTAAGGCCCATCCTGAGGACTGATTTTACGCGACCGTCTCTGTAAAGACCCTGTCTCTAAGCAAGGTCACAGGCTGAGTCCTGGGTGTCTGGACCCCCACTGGAAGCTGGGGCACAGTTCTGCCTGCAGCACAGGGGAGGTGCAAGGAATGGCTTGTTTGCGACCGTCCTGAAATGAGGATCGAGGACCCAGAGTGGTCATTTGCCTTGTGTCCTGCGCCTCTCGTTGTTGGTTCATCCACTGTGCTGTGTGGACGGCTCCGGGGAGAAACTCTGCGCTTACACCTCGGCTGGGCCTGGGCGCTGTTGTTAAAACCGCTACAGAGCCCGGGCCGGTTCGGCTCAGCGGTGAGAGCGTCGGCCCGCGGACCAGAGAGGCCGGGCTCAGTTCCCGCTGAGGGCACGTGCCTCCCTTGCAGTTTGGCCCCGGCTCTGGTTGGGTCGTGTGTGTGGCAGCCACTCGATGTGTCTCTTTCACGTCGATGTTTCTCTCTTCCTCCCTCTCTCCCTCCAGCTCTGTCTGAAAATAAATGCAAAAATGTGCCCTAGCCAGTTAGGCTCAGTGGTTGCGCATCGGCCTGCGGACCAGAGTCCCGGGTTCGGTTCCCACTAGGGGCACGTACCACAAAAAAAAAAAAATGTCCTCGGGTGAGGAGAAAAAAACAAATAAAAAACACCGCAGAGAGGTGCACGCAGGACACGCGTGGAAGACGCTCCTGTGAGACCCCCACAGGCACAGAGTCTTGCCGGCTCCCCACCGCGTCATCATAGGTCTGCGGTCTGCAGATTCCCCCCACATTTCGTGTAACAATGGCACAGATGCTTCTCGACTCGAACACACGCAGTCAGGATTGGGGTTTGTAGACTTCAGGACTTTGTGCCAACTTGAGGAACCCACGCTAAGCCCTGTGGGGGTCTCGGGGGGTCCTGGGGACTGGGGCCCACACGGTGCATTGTGATTCCCTCTGGTGAAGAGCGTGGCTGGGAGCTCATGCCTGCTCTCCGCTCGGGAAGCTGGAGTTTGTGCAGAAATCGGGGCTTTCGCGGAGACAGGGTGCAGCTGGGGAGACGGAGGGGGCGGCCTGTCCACCTGATCCGCTCCCTAGCACCTCACCGCAGGACTGGCGCAGCCAGACCCCTCCCAGCCCGCACACCAAGTCGTGGGGAGGGGCCCTGTCCCCCTCCACCCCAGCATCAGCCTGGTTGGGCAGCTCTGGACCTCCCGTGCTGGGTGTGGGGTGAGTTGACCTGTGCCCGAGGGTCTTGCGAGGAAGCCCAGCCAGCTCAGGCCTGGGGCTGGAAGAATGTTCTCCACCCGGCAGTCCTGGAAGAAACCGTGAAGGGCCCAGAGAGCTTGCAGGACCCCGACCCCCAAGGCCCGGGGACTCGGTGCCTAAGCCGCAGCGAACAGGCTCCGGGAGAGCCGCCCCGTGGAGGAGGCACCTGGCAGCGTGGGTTCCGAGGGGAGCGGTCTGTCTCCCGCTGCTCGGCAGCACTGTGCCTGGCCAGGGAGAGGGTGCGGGCGCCAGCCCAGGGGCGCTCTACATGGGGACTCGCCGGCCCCTGCCGGCCCCTGGCGTCCAGGATGGGCTCCCGCGTGGAGGAGGGAAGCAGGGAGGCACCCACGGTGTCCGGCTGGCGTAGCCACCTTGGAGGAGCCACTTCTAAAGGTCGGAAGGAACCAGCAGCGGCGCGCTCGCGGCCGGACAAGTTGGGAAAACTGAAGTCTGAGGAAGCAGCAGAGCGCCCGAAAACCCACTTCCGAGTGGCCTGCGTTTTCACTTCCTCTGGCGTGTTTTCAGTTCCTCTTCCCCGTTCCGCAGCGAGGCCGCCGTGGCTGCGTCGGGACCGAGCTCTCCGGCCCCGCCAGCCCGGTGCGTGCTCTGAACTGCTGAGGCTTCCTCGGACCTCCGGGGACACGTCCGAAGTGATGTGAGGGGGGGACGGGGCCCGGTGTCCTGTCTGAACATCCTGCCCCACCCCCAGGCCCGTGTCCCCCGGGGTGTGGTGGTGGTGGTGGTGGTTGCGTGTTGGCTGCACGTGGCCTTGTCCGTGCGTTCGGCTGGGGTGGAGCTGTCCCCTCTGCCCTGGGGATTCCCCCCGGCTGCCCCCCTGGGAGGTGCGCCCCTACTTTGAGGTACACTCTTTCCCTCTGGTCGGTTTCCTTCCCTCTCGCCCGCCTGCCTTTCTCTGCACCTGGAATTCGCTCTTCTGGTGCAGCCCAGGGGGAGCGGGGTCCTCAAAGCTGGCCAGCGGCCCCCCTCAGCGGCCCCCCCTCAGCGGCCCCCCTCAGCGGGCAGTCCTTCCTCCTTACCACGCTCATCTCATTGCATGTGAATTACTGATGCGGAGGAGGGGCTGTTCTGGGCTGTTTGTTCTGCTGGGGTGGGGGGGGCGCTGTACAGGCCGAGTGGCCTTGATTTGGGGAAGGTGTCCAGAGTTCACAGCCTGACGGGCCCCGGGGTCTTCGAAAGCCCCGAGCCCCTGCGTGAGCCTGTCCAGAGCGTCGGCCTGGGTGCAGGTAGCCAAGAGGGTCGTCACACGGGGTGACCGTCGGTCCGCTCCTCTCGGTCATTGTCAGATTGTTTAAGGAATCTGTCCCGGACGTGGCACTGTACTCACAAGTCAGTGCTGTGCAGAGTGACCACCTCCTGGGGACCCCACCGCGGGGGAGGAGGCCCCCTGTGGAAGGCGATCGGAGTGTGTCTTCAGGGCTCAGCTCCTGGGGAGCGAACACTCCGGTCTTGTGGCAGAAGTGTCAGCAGGCGAGGGTAGGCACGCCGTGGGGGGAGACATTTAAAAAGCCCTGTCCCTGACTGGGCTGGCTGGGACACGGGCACAGGTCCCTGTGCGGGAGGGAGGTCTGTGAGGACACTGGGGACCAGCCCTGAGGGAGGGCGGCGTGGGCAGAGGTCAGCGGGCTGCCCTCCGGGACCCACAGGCGCTCCGGCCTCGCAGAGCCTCCGTCGCTGGGAGCAGGGGAGGGTCCCCCTTTGCACTGTTGTCTCAGGGGGGCAGTTCTAGGCAGGGGGCCTGCTGGCCACACCCCCAGCAGCAGGGATGGCGCAGGCACCTGGTACCACCTGGCAGTGCCCACCCGGTCCGCCCCTGACCGCCTGACCGCAGCTGCTCTAGACGAGGAGGAGGGAGGGGAGCAGAGCCGTGGGTTTGAGCCGAGCGGGACCAAAGCTTAGGGTTCCCTTCTTGTCTTGCAGCACCCCCCTTTTCTGGATGGAAGACCGAGGGCTGGGACGCCTCTGACGTCGGAGCTGGTGGCCCCTGGCAGGTAAGCGACACACACGGGGTGTCTGCACGAGTCGCCGAACCTGGGCCCTGCATCAAGGCAGCTGCGTCCTGACCGAGGTGCACCGACCCGAGCGGGGAGACCGGCCCCGTGCAGAGCAGTTCAGGAGGGAGCAGCAGCTTCTGGAAGCTTCCGGCGGCCCTTGGCATTCCAGGGCCCTGCGGCTGTCTCCCTCGGGGCTCAGTCTCCACGGGAAGGTCAGACGTCACCGGTGCGCCAGTGCGCCTGGCTCCGCGGAGTTCCCAGAACTGTCCCGTGTGTGTTTACCTTCTGTGACTTCCCCTCCGTCGCTGCGGAGACGTTCTCACCCTACCCGGAGCCAGACGGAGCCCAGGTTGCGCCCGGTGGTGTTTGCACGGAGCAGTTATTCTCACAACGTGAGGGGTTGTGAGCTCCCAAACAATGGCCAGGGAGTCCACGGGCCCTGTGGTTCCGGGTCACCCCGCCGGGGCTCCAGGACAGCCCTTGTCCCTGCAGTACAATAGCAGAACACGGTAAGAGGGAGCACTAGCCGGGGCTCGCGAGGAAGAGCTGGGGGCAGCTGGGACCCCAGCAGAAGGGAGAGTCCACGACACCCTGGTAGAATGTTCCGGGCGTTTTCCTGGCCGCTCTTTTGATTGGGCGACAGAAGGAAACGTCTTCTGTCAAGTCAGCGGGCGAGGCCGTCTGCGCAATGTGCTGCAGCCATCGCGTGTTTAACAACAGCGACGAAGCGTCTGCCCTCCCCGGGACGGGCTTGGACAGGAGTGAAGGGACGTTCGCATCACCCTGGGCGGGGGGGCAGGTTTAGAGGGCACAGCTCCCCGGGCGGGCGAGTCCTTTCGGGGTCCTGTTCGAACCGACCCAGATCACGGGCCACCTGAGTGATTTCAGGTTTTATCTTTAATCACACCGTCCTCTGCTCAGCAGGGGCAGGAGGTGTTGTCCCAACCCCCTCCCCACTTTTCCTGCAAGGGTCTGTGTTTGCCTGTATCCAGTCCCCGGGTTCCGACCTGGGGCCTTTTATGAGCGAAGGGAAGAATTCGGGAGTGTTCTGGTCCCAGGGTCCCAGGGTCCCAGGGTCAATCCTCGCTGCAGCTGAGGTCTCAGGCACTTAAAATACTTCTGCCCCAGAAGCCGCCTCCAGCAGGCCTGGTCTTATAAGGGCAGCCCCCCCGGAGGCTGTGGTCTCTCTGGGTGGTGGTGACACCCAGAGAAAGGCATCCACATTCTTGGCATTCCTCTGGCCTGCCGCTGGCAGATGCGGGGGGTTTGAAATCACACACAAGTATGCAGCGAGGTTCTCCATATCCTGGAGAGCGCCCAGTGTGCCGCACGCGTGACCCCCCGTCTGACCCCACACGTCTCACCTTGGGGCCTGAGCACAGCTGGCCCAGGGCAGGTCCCCTCCTGGGCGGGACAGGAGGGGCTAACAGGGGCCCCACTCGGGGCCCTTCCCTGGCTCCTGCAGTTCCATGGGTGTCATTTATGCCGTTTGCTTTTTCTGGCCCCAAGCCAGACTTCACAGAGCACCGAGATGTCTGGGAAGAGGAGACGGGGGGGGGGGGGGGGGGGGGGGGGGCTGGCCGTCTCGACAGGAGCCGGAGCGGTGCAGCCTGGGGAGGGAGGGAGGGCTCCCTTTCCCCTGCCTTGGAGATGGCCGGGTGGACCAGGGTCTCAGCATTTCGATAGACCGTCCCTGCTACGGCAACAGGGGCGTCTTGACACATTTGGCCGACGTCTGTGGCTTTTCCCCTCGGAAACATCAGTGCCGTGTTTTCTCTGCTTCGCCCTCGAGCTCTGGTTTGTCTCAAGCTTGTGCTGGGATGGAGCTTCCCAGGGCCTGTTTCTGTGCCCAGAGTTTTTGTGGTTTTCATGGAATTCCTGCAACTCCGGGGTCAGGATCTGACCCTTCAGCGGCCCTGCTGTTCATCACCGTCAGAAGGTGGTCCATGGAGTGCTGCTCAGGGTGACGCCCAGCCGAGAGGGAGGAGGGAGCTGCCTTGCTGCCCTTCCCTTTAAGACCAGTCTGAATGATGGATGTCGCCGGAAAGGCTGAGCTTGCCCCCGAGAGCTCTTCCGGGAGCATGCCAGCCTAGGCTAGATCGCTGGGGGAGACCCCGGCTCGCCCCCACGGCTCTGTGGGTGCCGTGAAGCCGGGGGCTCCTGCATGTCGTCCCTGCTCCAGCCCTGACCACCGTGCGTCCTGCCCATTTTATAGATAAGAAATAAGGCTCAGAGTTCAAGATCAGAGGGTTATTATTAATGAGCAGCAAGGACCAGGTCTAGACCCCACGTTTGTGCGCCCCGACACACTCCTCCCTTGCCGCCTCCCTTCCCTGGCACCCGGAGGGCAGGCGAGCCACCTGGGGGGTCCCCAAGGCCAGCGCCGGCCATCAGAAATGAGTTCCGAGCCGCATGCACGAACCACACAGCCAAGTTTTAGAGTAAAAGTAAACAGGCGAAATGAAATGTTCTTCTCTCAGAACTGTAAGTGTACTTGACAGTCAGGGACACAGGTAAGAAGGGAGTTGGGTGACCTTAAAGGAGGGTGCCCTTCAGCTGGACTGGGCCACACTGAGGGGGTGGCTGGCTGGGCACCCTCTGTCCGGACCACAGGGAGAATCACTGACCAAGTGTTGCTCTTCTGGGGTTACTTTTCAGACGGGACTCCAGACTTTTCTGACGGTGTGGGTTTTTCTTTTTTAGTGTGAGTTTCGTGTATCCCGTGAACCCTTTGGAGGTGATACACACACAGTGTTGTGTACGCACCACCATCTCTGGTCTCTCTTCCATCCCCCGTAGAACGCCCGTACCCGTTCATTATTTCCTCCCAGTGCCCCCCCCCCCTCGTTCCCCGGGGTCACTTCTGCAGTGTGACTGGGGCTCCGGCCTGTAGGTCCGGGAGGTCCCGGCCTTCAGTTGTCCTTGGGACAGAGCAACTGAGGCCAGCGTTGTTGACATCGCGACCTCCAGGCCTCCGCGGGCCCCTCGTGGGGTCAGGTCCTGCTGACGCAAGGATGTCCAAACCTGTAGGGGATTTTTATGACACTTTACGGGGGCCAAACAGAGGACACATCTGGAAGCAAGATGTCAGCAGACCAAGAGAAATGCTTTCTAGAATGTCAGGCTGCAGGTTCTGTGCGTGTGGGATGGGGAGGGAACGTAAGGAAGGTGGTACAGGGCGGGAGCGGAGCAGGGTGCCGCTGGATTACAGAATGGTGGTCGTGGCTGACTTCAGAGGGGTGTTAACAAAATGCACAGAAACCAGGCACAGGGCTGGCTTCCGGCAAACATGAACCGTTTAGAAGTTATGTGCCAGGGACGTGACTACCCACCGTGACCCGGGCCGTGAGGGATTTATGACCGATTGCCCTGTGGAACCCCTTTGTGGTCCGCGGGTCTGACCTCCCCAAAGCCCTGCATGAACCTGAGACGTGACTCAGCCCCTTTCCAAACCTTTGCGTTACAAAGCTTCCCATGCTGCTGCTTCAGTTAATAAAGGGCTGCCATCGGATGAGCGAGGCCGTGAGCAGGAAGGGGAGCCGGGGGGCCTGTGGACCGACCAGAAATAAACCCGAGCTGCGCCCCCAGAGCCTCAGCCGCCCAGCTGCCCGCCAGGCTAAAAATGCCATTTGCGTTCTTAAAACCCTGTGCTTTGGCCTCAGACCGAGCCTCCTTCCCACCCTAAAGCTGCGTCGGGAGGACAGTGGGCATTTTTGACATACTTGGGGCTTTGGAGATAAAAGGTGGGAGGGGAGCAAGATTCCGCCGGTGTTTGTTTCGGGAGCCTTCCAGCCTCTTCCTGAAACCTGCTTAGACTTACAAAGACACTTCCAATCTAATCAGAGAGCCCGGGTTCCCGTCTCTGGCTGGAGTTCCCCCTTTGTTAGGTCATCACTTCCAGTCGACTGGCAGCCCGCCTGGGCAGGGCAGGGCGCGTGCTTCGTTCTCGGTCGGAGAACGCCTCTCTCTCTGCCCCCAGCCCGGGTCTTGATGGTAATGAGTCTCAGCCGCGAGCACCTAAGCGTACTTGGCTGGGTCTCCTTGGACCTCAGTCTCGTCCTCTGTAGACATGGGGCCCGTGTCCCAGAAGTTTCTCAGAAATAAAACGAAATTAGATAGGCACTCAGATTTGCTTGGGGGCGTGGAGGGGGGATGGGAGAGAGTCAGACCCAGCACAGCCGGCAGCAGCGGCCGGGCACCGGGGCCTGAGAAATGGAGCTGTGCCCACGTCGCCAGCCCTCCGCGGCTCGACCCACGCGCGCCGGGCCCTGGGGGGGCCTGGGCCCCGGCACCACACCCCTGGACTGCTGAGAGTGACCCAGCTCTCAGAAGGGGAGGGCTGGGCTGGGTCAGAGGCAGCTTGAGGGTTGGCGCCCAGGGCCGATCATCGTGGGGACGGGGCAGCGCCAGGCTGGGGCATTCCTGGGCCAGGGAGCAATGGCACTGGTTCTCCCAGCAAAGTGAGGAGGTGGGGCTTCCTCCTGGGCTCGTGTGCAGTGCCCGTCCCTCCTCCCGCCCTCCCCCCTTCCCTCTGATGTTGCCTCAGCCCCATTGCTGAGGGCCCCCAAACACTGTCCAGTGGGGGCGGCCCTGGCCCTGGAGTTTGGTTCATGCCCTTTCTCAGGCACATCGCCCTCCTGACCTCAGGTGCTCCAGGGGTCTCCAGGGTCCATAGAGGGGTGAACATGACGCACTGGCCAGAGTGAGTTCCTCAGGGCCCCTCCGCCTCGGGGAGGGCTGAGCAGAAGGACCGACGGCATCGTCCGGCACGCCGAGATGCTCCTGTCCCCATGGGGTGGACACGGTCCCGGAGTCACACGTGAGGTGCCCTCAGCACCCTCTCCGCTCCGTTCAGGGGGAAGGGACTTGAAAGCTTTCGGCAGAGCGGACGGACTTAAACAGCCGGTGGCTGTCGGAGGTCACACAGCCTTCCCGTTACAGCCCGTCGCCCGCTGCCCGCCAGGCCAGGGTCGGCCCACTCTGGTCAGCGCCCGCCA